CAACTTTTTTAGGATCTTACCCATTTCCTTCTTGATCCGGGTTTGATTTCCGCTCATGGTCTACCACAAACAAGCGAGTGTAGCTTCTGTGATGTATAAGTACTTAATCCGCTTTTTGAAAACATCGGCTGTGCCAGAGTAGGTGCACCGCTGGCACAGCCCGGCAAGGCTCACTTCCGCCTCCTGAGACCCCGCTTGCCACGTTGGATGTGGCACGTTAGTCAGAGAAGAATCTAGCGCCAGTCCCCTTCATCTGTGCTGCGGCGATGAATGGGACCGGAACGGGGATCAGGAAGAGAAGTGATCACCTGCCGTAACCTTCGTTTTACTTTTTATTTTGGTATCTTGGGTTATTTCACGTTCGGTACAACAAACTTGAGCCTGCGATATGGTTCCGTTTTGTATTGGTGGAGTTGTAAATTTAAGATTGCACGGAACTGTTTCCCTATTATATTTCCACGGCTTCCCTCGCCAAAGAAAGAGAGTTGGCTGCCTTACGATGGAGCTGGCGCAGGAATGAGATTAATGGGGTATTTTACCAGTCTTAATCACTCTCTAGTTCGAAATATATTTGGTATTACTGCTGGCTTTGCGCGTTTCGGTTGATGAAATGACGGCCAAGCCAAGAAATTGATGAAGAATGTAACTTCTATAGCTTACTTGTTTGACGTTAGTGATGTAAATTTTCACGAAAAATCTTTTATTTAACGGATATGAGCACTGTGCGATGTTTCTACATTTACAGAAGTTTTTTCGTCAGATTATATTTCACAAGCACTTCCTGTTTTGACCAACGATTTTAATCACGAGCTTACTCGACCAGAAAAATGCATGTCTCGGCTAGTGTTCTTGGGAAACTTCTCGATTCATCGGTGAGCTACCTGAGCTAAGGAAAAAGAATCTTATATTGTCTCGTTGTTGTTCGCGTCGTGTCTGTTTAGTCCTAGTGATAGCGAAATGCGCTTGGGATCAGTCATGTATAGTATATCTAATCACAGGCAAACCAACATATCAGTGTGCCGATATAAATTAAGAATCCTTTGTGTGTTTATTCACTGAACTGTAATTCTTTTTTTTTTATCCTCGCTTGGCCCTTAAAAATTGTTTACTGATTCAATGTTGATCGTTGCAGTTTAAAGAGAGAAGCTTTTGTGACAGGCTTAGAGTTGTTGAAGACCTACGTGTAACAACTGACTGTAAACATAAGAAGTTATAAATTCAATTAAATTTTGTCTTAAATGCAATAAGTCTGATAAAATCCTAAGGATAACAAGGTTTGGACTTGGATAACGTTACAACAGATGTGTCTAACACTTCTGCACATGAAGATGATAGTAATTATTAAAATGCTCAATAAGCTATAAATGTTTCAAGATTTCAACATGTGCTACCAGTGTTTCCCCTTTAGGAGAAAATTTTGTGACAGTGGTCCATGAATATTAATTTCTTGTCAAAGCTTGCAGCAGACATAACAAATTTCATTTTATTTTAGGTAGGCAGATCTCTTGTGTAGAATCTCGAATGGAGCGTGGATGACCAAGTCCTCCTTATTGTGAGTGAATATATATGGCTCAGTAATTTATTAATTGGTCAATGTGCATTCTTCGATCTAGTCAAATTTTATGAAATTTAATGTGCTTTGACAAGAGCATTGTTTGGACGCAGTCAGGAATGTAATTCATATGCATTTTGTAAAATACAATTCTGAGAATGAGCTGTCTTAGATGAAATAATGCTTGTGTGATAAATCTTAGTTGAAAATTCGCAAATAAATGTTATAAATTTTATATTTTGGAATTTTAAGATTAGCATTGTAGTAACTTGATATTTGAATAAATTCAGGGTTCAGCCTTCACAAATGATTGGGCCATCTTGCTTAAAAAATGCTATTTATTTTTATGAAAGGCCATTTTCCTCGTTAAAAGTAAACTTAGGTATCTGGAAAATATTTTCATAACTTCAGGCTTCACGTTGTTGCCATAGTATGCTAACAACAGAACGCTTTATGTTCTTGATTGCTTTCCGCCCCATGCTTGGGTGTGACTCATTTTATGAAATCTGCTGATCTGATCACAGCAGATCTGAGTCAGTCTTAGATGACATTCCGTCAGGTTGGGATATGACTCAGGCTCAGATCTAAGTCAGTCTCTAATGTGACTCAGGCGTGGATAAGACTCAGAGTGGGACGTGACTCTGGCTCTCTTGTAACTCATGAAATGGGTTTGCTCATTTTGTTGGGGGAGGGGGTAGAGGGGGGAATGTTTCTTGCTTGATCTGACTCAAGAGGTTTGCAGAGTTATTCAAACAAACGGATTTGAGTCAATGCAAAAATTATGTCACTGCACATTTACTAATGTTAATTAACGAATATCTGTGCATTACGAAGTAGAACAAATGGAAACAAGTGTTCGACCATAATTGTTGACTGAAACAAGCAATTATCACTCCGTAATTTGTGCCAGCTTGTTTCAAGTTATTTAGTATATCTATAATTTAAAAATATTGAGAATTAGATGTAAACGTTTTTGGAGGATTTTACACCTCAAAACAAGGACTAATCATGTAGTTAGGATAAAATTATAACAAAAACAGGACTTTGGGAGAAATTGGCATGGGATCACAGACATCAAGCCGGATTGATACTCTCATTAAATCTCCCCCAGCTCCGCGAATGTCGTCAAGTTTCTTCAAAATTTCAGTCACATCTCTTGAGAATTTGTGTAAGACAAACTCTAAACTGCATGGAAAGATGCTGTTTACTTCTCTTCGTCACATGGGTTACTTCATATTTAACATTGTCCTATTCCTATAAAAAATGAGAACATGTCGTATTCTCTGCGTTTTGGCGCAATCATAGCCGACTGTCTCTGTGGTAATCGCTTCTCTTTTGACCTGGGCAGTTATTGTGGTCCTCACAGGAATGCTTTCATTGAAAAGATTAAGTAAGGAGTGCGTTACAAAAGGGGTGAAGTTGTTCTTTAGAATTTCTGACGGGAAACGCACTTTAAGAATCTCGTGTTTAAAATTCAAGTTCAAAATTTAAAAATATCGGATTTGACGCTAAGTTTAAGCATAGACACTCTTTTAGAAAACAACTCAGTAACTCGTTTTGAAGCTTCAGTTAGAATAACATTAGCATTTTAAGATAATTATGCAACCCGGAAATGATTCGTTTCCGCCTCAGTGTGTAGTTACATATAAACTCCTGCAGATACCTAGATTGTTTTCAGAAAATGTGTCCGTTTCTTCTCAGGCTGCAATTTGGCCTTGGTTGTCTCCTTGAAGCGCCCAAAGGGTTGATGTCAACTGCAGTATTCAGTTATCCAAATATTAATGGAGTTAACTATTTTAATTCTTTCATTCTGATCACCCAACAACATCTCTAATTATTGCAAATTCAACAAGTGTCACCAATGTTTTTATTGATACCCGTCGATTTTGCTGGTGACTTTCTGGTAGCCGTATATCAAATTTGCTGTGGTTGAGGATAAAATGAATGGGTTTTTTCGAGGGAAAATAACTACACATGCGCATCCAACTCTCCAAAATAGAAGCCTTATTTCGTCTGTAAAATTTCGAAGAAGAATTCGACACCTATATTGCATTGCTGTTGTCGTCATGTAGTTCTGAGATGGCCGTTATGTCCAACTGGGCATGAAAAACAGGGTTCACTTCAAGTCCCATAAGTCAGTGAATGTCGAGTCTGTTGCAAATATAGTGCTTTCACTTAATAAATATATTTGGTCACGCCAGGAGTTCCTGCGTGACCCGGCAGTGTTCGGCTTGCAAAACGTCATCAAGGTCTTGTAAAACAGCACTTGCTCCCGCTTGCGTTACTGACGTAGGCTTGAGACCTATGACACCACAAAAAAAAAAAAAATGAAAAAGAGAAAAAAAAAATAAAATGTGAGTCACGCGTTGCGAACATTACGTGTGCACAAAAAAATTGAAAACTTTGCCGATAAAAACTCCCAAAAAAAATATAAAAGAACTGAAAAATCACACACAAAAAAATAATAAAATTGCCGACGCTGTCGTCCTCGTCGTTTTATTTTTATTTTTATTTTTCATGTTTTATGTTACTTATGTTACTGGCCAAAATCTTCATGTTTATTCTCAACAATATCTGCCATACACTTCTGTCAATTCTAGTTCTGAGAATTTGGGTTTTAAATCAAACAACATTTCCAACTGGTACCTTTCCTTACCCCCGCCCCCCCCCCTCCCCCACCTTTCTGCTTGAAATGTATTGCTGTTGTTAGAAGAAGCTTCTTTTTGGTCAGCACTGCGGTTGAAAGGATTAAACAAGACGAACAGCTTCTCATGTGTAACTGAAGTTACTCGAGGCAAGGAGAAAATGCACTGAATACCAAATTATTGCAGTTTCTTTCATTTATCAAGCTGTGCGATTCAAAGTCTTCGGTTATTCGGATTTAACCCTTTCACTCCCATGCGTGACCAAGACAGAATTTCTCCTTACAATATCAATACAACATCAAACGGGCAAGTGATGAGAATATAGAAAAATATCTTAGGGAATTATAAGTTGATCCAATATCAAATTCTCTAAACTAACATCACAAGAACTGTATGGCAGGCAGTAAGGAGAATTACCAATGAGATCTTGGGAGTTAAAGGGTTAACCCTTTATGACCGAACATTAATATGCAAGCTCGCCGTAATGTTCTTTATCCATTTTCTACAGTCTTACATGGATAATTTGTCTAACAATAAAGACATTCTCGAGTTCGCGATTATTTCTTTTATTCCCTTGACCTCAATGTTTGTTTCAGGGTTTTTCTGTAGGGAGAAATCAGATGCTAATCACCCCAAGGGGTTAAGGGTTTTGAAATCGAAGAGCATTAAGCGCTCAGACGGAGATTGTCACGCGATCGATGTCTATGTCTGTTTTCTTCCCAGCACGTTCAGGCTTTTGAATACAGGCTAAAAGAAAACCGAAAAAATCATAATTAATAGACATATTTAATAGATAACTCTTGAGACAATTTTTTAATACATTTTTTATACAATATTCGGTTGGCCTCTTCCTAGCCATCAGCACTACACAGAACTTCAAACTTACCATATGATTTGCATTTCGCATCTTTTAAAAGACCCAAATAATCTCTGTTGATAGTTTGCGGATCTCTTTAGATATATTCCATACGAAAACCATGAAATATTAATTGCTTTCTTACTGTTTAACGAGACTAGAATAATCTCTTTTGTTTTCCCGCAGCCTCCAAGGCTGTTTTCATTACATTTATAGTTCATGCTGATTTTTCTTCAAATGTTTTTTTTTCTTAATGTACAAATTCGGTATCAACCGTGTATGTTGAATAAAAGAGGTAATAGAGCAAATTTAATTTTACTGAAACTGATGGCGGCAGCGCAATTGTAACGTCTTGACGATAATACCTGATTCCTAACCATCGAGCTTGCAATTCAGTTTTAAGCATTAACCGTCGTTGCGAAAATCTTTTTAAGTACTTCACCCGGTTAAATCTCGATAAGGTTTGATTACGTAAATGCTAAAGCCTTTAATCTGAATAAACGGAGCTGAAGCTTTGAGAAGTTTGAAGATTTTCGCTGCTGGCTCCTCTCCCAAGGTGAAACTGGTCTAGTAGCCATTCCAGTCGAACTTTATCGTCGCTCAATTTTCTCTGGTATTGTCCTTTAAGAACCCTCCTAAGATCCTTTTTTTCGTTCGTGTACTTATTCTCCATTTCAAGTTTGTCTCGCTCGAATTTTAGCCGTAAAGTTTGTATTTCCAGCTCGTAACATTTCTCCAGCTGTTCCTTTTGATATTTCAAGACAGAAATGTCATGTTCGTAACCTTGAATTTCCGACTCGAATTTCAGCTTCTCTTGTTGTAAAATGCGCCGGAAATCCACGTCAAATTTACGCCTAATATCTTCTTTCTCTTTACGAAAGTGTTCCTCCATGTCAGATTTTTCCCTCCTAAAGATGTTCATTAAGTCGTTTTTCTGCTGTTTGAATCGCTTTTCCATGTCAATGATTTCCGACGCGAACTGGTGCTCGACTTGTTTGTGTTTATTAGCGTAGTGCGACTGCATCCTGTTCTTTTCTTGGGTCAATGATTTTAACAAGTCCTCTCTGTCCACGCTTAACTCGGCATCTAAGAGTGATTTGAAGTGCATGTCCACCTCAGGTTGCTCATGGTTGTACACTGTTTCCAAAAGCGCGTTTTCCTCCAAATAAATATTTTCCAGATCCCCTAAGCCTTGACACAAAGTTCGCTTTAATTCCTTTTCTACGTCCTCGATTCGTTCGAGTTCTTTGCGTATTGTCGCATCCATTTCTATCTTTTCTGCTCTAAAGCCCTCTTCTTTTTCCTTCAAATTTTTTTCAAAACTTTTCTTTAATTCCTTTTTCTCCCTCTCAAAATTTTCCAAAAGGTTTTCCTTTTCGCGATCCCACGAATTCATCAACACTGATTTCTCGTCGTCAAACGACAGTTTCAAAACGTGTTTCGCCTCCTGGAATTCCAAGCGAATATTATCCTTTTCTTTCAAGAACGCCTGTCTCATTTCTTCTTTCTCGCATTCAAAAGCCTTTTTCATGTTCTCCTTTTCGGCTTCAAACGCAAATCGCATTTCGTTTTTCTCATCTTCATGGGCGCACTCAACCAGTTCTCGGTCTTGAAGAAATCTGCGAACGATTTCCGCTTTCTCCTCCAGAAACTGTCGCTCTTCGTCCGAGACGTCGAAGAGGTGTCCTTCAGAGTTCTTCGACGAGGACCTTTCCATAGCTTACCGTTTGATTTATAAGCTCGAATTTTACATTCTTATTTAAAATGAAAGCGCATTTCACGGCGGTAGAACTCAAGCCGCGCCAGTGATCCTTGATCGAGACACTTTATAGTCGATCGATAATCCGGAAACCCTGCGTGCGCACTATTATAACCACGACTTTCCATTAATAGCTTGTCACTTTTTTAACGTCAAGGCTCTTCTGGTTTTTCAACAGCCAAGAATAACACACAACGGATCCGTTTTTCTTAAAGCTCAGCCGACTTCAAAAAATCAGTGATCTGTGAACGACGTCGATAAACACAGTGTAGCTAACTTTCGATTATTTTAGACAAACACTTTTACTTTCAGCCAAATCTGCATATAAATCGATTTTGATGCTATCTAGGACTGAACCAATTGTCGGGTTTTGACAGTGGAATAATTGCTAAAAACACCACCTGGCGAGGCTCAGTCGAAGCTAATTGATTCTACGTTGGTCGACACACACTTTTAGCAAAGTTGAAAAGCGGTAGTCATTCGTGAGAAACTTCATAAAAAATTTCCTTTGGCGAATTAGGGCCAAGAAATAAACAGCTTTGTCTATGCGTAAAAGTTCTCTTTGAAGGCAGAATTAATGTGATACAAATAACCTCTTTACTTAAAGTTGACCTCCACCAATGATAATTCAAGACAGTAAATTTCAAGGTCTATTTATTTTGTGAGAAACGCTTTACAAATTTAAGCCCGATGTCAAGCACTTTACTGTTTGAAAATGAGAAATTAATTCACATACCCTGAGGGAGACAGGTACCCGAAAGTTCATTACTTCTCGTCCTGTCACCGTCTAGCTTGGAGCTGAGACGTTTGTTTTGAAAACATTTTATTGACAAGCAATCCGTGTTTTAGCCGGTTGAATGATTTAGAAGATACATACACCCACTCGACTTCAGTTGCGTCACCAACTGTACCAAAACATTTTAGCTTGCTGTACTTCTGCGGTTGAATTTAATTTTGTAGTAGAATTTCGTGGTTACCCATTCTAAAAAAGAAGTTTTTATGACGTTGTTAGCCCTGTTTTGTCATGACACTCGTGAGGCAAGATAGATTGAAGTTTAACCTCCAGGCAGATTTGAGAACTCAAGCTTTGAAATCGGCTCGCATTGAGGGCGTTATACGGGGCCGCCGATAACAGTCTTTATAACTACAGAGTTCTCCGTCAACGAATAAAACCTTATTGTTAAGTGGTTGTCAATCGTCCAATGCAACAGCAAATCAGAAACATATGTAAAAGTTGATTGTGCTTCTGATCCACGAAGAGATTCCGCAACTTTCTGCATTTCGCGTAGTCTTCCACGCGATACGTGGAGAAGAGCTGGGAACAAGCTGAGAACAAAGAGGTCGAATTCAACATGGCGGCGGATGTGGTTGGGTGTGATGGAAAATCACAGCGAAGCTTTAGTATAAAACCCCGAACAGGAAGGGAAATTGACATTTCTTTCATTTTAAACATATTTTATGGCATTTGGTGACATTTGGACTTAAAACAGATGGAAATGGTAGTCCCAAAATAGAGAAATGAAGGCCATATTTCTCTTCATGTCAGAAAGCTGCAAAAAGAGGTACATGCGCGTGGAGAAATCCTGTTATAAGCGGGTTATTTTGTTATGTTTCTTCAGCCTGATCTTTTATTTTGCTGACTTTGCTAGTTCTTAAGTTCGTATGCTAGTAAACTAAGTTAATGATTAATCTGATAACTTAGCTGCTTGCTGATTATGCTCATGCTACTGTTGAAAATTTTTGCTCGGCTGGAAATTCGAAATTTGGTGTGTGTGTATGTGTTTTTAAACAGGAGCCTCTTTTTATTTACCACCACGATACAGATATATTCCCTTGCCGGTATATATACATTTTATGGAAATGTATATACATCTGTCTCAATATATGCTGATTTATGATGCAAAAGTAATTAAAAACTGATTTAAGCATCAGTTAGTGGTCTTCAAACCACAGTGCATAAAGCATGTGCAAACTTGTGAAAAGTACAAAACAAGCACTCAGGGTCCCCCTAAGGGTGAGTCCAGCATTTGGGTTACTTTCTAAACTTCTTAAGTGCTTCAATTAAGCAATACAATCAACTCTCTTGCAAGCCAGCACCCTCAAGTATTGGAAGAAGTTTCTATTGGTAGAGCTGTCTGCCTAGGAGAATTATTCCCACAAGTAGACACCAAAGGAGAATAGGTTATGTTATGTAAAAGAGAAACAAGGAAAGTAGACCATAACGAACATGGCCATAATGTGACACTACAAATGTTATGTCAGACTCTGGTTTTTCTGTGGACAAATTGAGATTTGACAAAACTGATCCCGACTGTTCTGTTGCTCTGTAAAAGGTCATATTTTTATTGATTTGCAAGATAAAGACAAATTTCATTGCCAAGAGTCAATTATTATGCATGGGGTGGCCACTTACAGGAGTAGGAGGAGAGTGTAAACAAAAGAAAAATCTAATTTTCATTGGTATCACATAGTATTGTGCTTTCTCAGAAATTGTTTTCATTGCTGCTCCTTAAATTAGAGCTTCACAGAGTCCTCATCTAAGTCAACAGCAAGTGCTAATTGAACCCCTTAGGAAAAATTTTAAAATACAAACTCCAAATTCTTGCATCATAAACTTACAGTACGCAGTTACTGTGTGGTGTTTGTTCCCTTGTTAATGAGGTTCAGTTCTAGAAAAATTTAACCAGTTCCTCTTAGTAAAAGGGTGACTGTGATTTTTATTACAAGCAGATTGAGAAATCTAGTTTAGCTTTTTCATTTTAACATGCTACAAAATTTACACTGTAGATCTCAGGATGCAACCTTTCAATTCACCTGCCATTGTGCAATATTATGATACTCACCAATCAGATGATGCTTACTTTGTGTAATGTTGTTGAGGATTTTGATGAATGCACAATTGATCTGTGAACAAATTGTGTCATGGTATTCTCAATAGGGTAGTTTAAATGGTTCATAAAGAGAGGAATTCCTTCTGTCATGGTTCAGTGTGTTCACACTCATCATCAATGGGACCATGGGAATGGGATGCTTACTTGCATTCAGGAATTGGTTAACATGAATCTAACTTTGTTATGAAATCTGTTATATGATAAGCTGAATTATGCACAATGTTGATTGGCTCTTATCTATGATCAGTTAGAGTACAGATTGATACCTCAATGAATCACTATTAACAACATTTTGCTTTTTTATCATATGAAGCAAATAGAATCCATGTTGCTGTGGGTCTGTACTGTAATACACAATGTGTGTCTTTTTTTTTATCCTTACCACATTTTGATGTCATCTGTGATCTCTTACTGAACAGAAGCACAAAAACATAGAATCTATTTTTTGATCAGAAAATCTTCATCCTATGTTAACACTTGTCATAATTTCTATTCTTACCCCTACCCAAATCATATGGGGAAAGTCTGCATTGCAGACTGATTGTAGGAGACCCTTATCAATGGGGACAATCAGTTGTTAGTTATGCCCCAGTCAATTTGATTATTCAACCAGCAACCCATGTGCATTTGACCATGTCTTTGCTGAGAGGGTGGGTAACTTTAACCTTGCATGGGTGAGGTGGGGCATTTGATCTGGAAGTGTCAAGTCTTGCAAGTGTCATACACATGTTTTAAATAAATGGAGGAGTTTGATGGTAAAGGGTCTGCTTTTGTGAGTTAATGGCTTAGAAATACAATTTTCACATTATAGAATGATGCTCACAAGCAAATACCCAACAGAGGGTTTTATTTTACTGTTTTGAAATTTTTGATCAGTCAAAGTTCAAAGTATGATCATGATATTTTTATTTGTTTTCAGAAGAATCTTTCACACTGAAGAAGTAGAAACAAGACAAAAGTAGAACTGTTTTCTTACCAGAATTGTGAAAAAGAGGAATGTTCATGCTGTATCACAATAAGAAAAGGTACTCAAAGTTATTTAGAACAGTAGAGGTTGGTGTGTTAGTGAGTTTTCTTGACACTTGAAAGGACATTTTGAGAATTCCCCCCCCCCTTAGTGAATCATTCATGTTTTGCAACAAGTCATGAAAGATCAGTAAACTTGTTTGCCTTGTTAGATTTTTTGACTGTGTATTTCACAGAGCTTCAGGGGTTGTAAAGTACATTTGGTTTTGTGGTGACTGATAGTTTATTGATCTAATGCTACTTTGATGTTATGGACCAAAGCAATTCTAAAATATTTTAATTGCTAGCTCAATTGGCTGACACAGTGGTTGACTAACCAGTGGACTAACTGACAAACTGATTGGTTTGCTGAGGGAATTCCCAGATAAATAGCATGGTTTGTCCACTCAATAACTAATTCACTGACTGCTGCATAACTGAATTGGTGAATGTTGGCAGACTAATGTGCAGACTGGCTGCTCAGTGGGCTGACTCTGTGCATGACTGACCAGTGACCAACTGTTGGGCTGGCAGGTTGACTGTCTTGGTAGTTAACTGACCATTGGACTGACTAACCTAGTGACTGCTAAGGTCGTATCCAATGACAGATGGACCTCACAGGTAGTCCATCAAGTGCCTAAGACTCTGGCTGGCTAACTGATCTAGTAATCAACTGGTTTGCCAAGGGTATGCACCCTTTACCCTTCAACTCCCAGATCAAATTTGTAATTCTCCTTACTGTTAACTATACAATTCTTATAATGTTAGTTCAGAGAATTTAGTGTTGGATCATTATCCTCAAATTGATCTTTTTCTTTATTCTCATCACTTGTCTAGTTGTTATTGTTTGCTAGATATTGTAAGGAGAAACTCTGTCTTGTTCACTCATGGGAGTTAAAGGGTTAACAGGCTAAGAGATGGCATGGCTAGATCACCAAAATGACTTAGTCACTGATTGTCTGAGTGGCTGACTGACTGACTAAAGCATGAGCTGACTGACTTACTGACAAACTGGCTGAAAGAGTGCCTAACTGATGGGTGGTTTTACTGAAGGACTTTTGATGTACACTGAGAGTTAGCTTGAATGTCAAATTGGCTGACTGCTCTGCAGAGAGATTCATCAATACATGTAGCTGACTATTGGCTTTCTTTTTAAAGATTCTCACTGCTCAAGTATGGCCAAACCTGGATTAAAGTGCCTGGGTAATTGGGACATCAGTTGGATTAGAGAAGTGTGGCTCCTGCACACTATCAAGACCTGCAAAGTAACACAGCCGATTGACAGGACATAAAAAGGAGATAAATAAGATAGAAACCTGGCAGGTCAGTGTGTAAAATGATAACCTTTTCTCAAAGATGCAATGTAATTTTACAAAAAGAGAGCTTGAAACAATCTACTGGATGTTGAGATCAGTGAGGCAAATTCATCAAATCTGCCCAAACACACATTCCTGCAGTTACCTTATCACAGAGATTCAGAAATAAGTCATTAATGCAAAGGGGCAATACTTTTCTGGGGAAGGGAAAAAATCTGGTTTCAAAATCTTTCGAGATCCATGACCCTTCAAGCAGCCTAAACTAGACCTGAGGAGCTCTGGTGCTTGGGTCATAGACTTTTTATTTTTGAAGCTGAATTTAATGAAAAGGAAATGACATTAAAGTCCAGTTCCATATTGAGATTGAGACAGATGCAGGAGTACTTGAAATAATTAAATCATATGTAGCAGCCTCCACAGAAAAAAGGAAGGGGAAGAGACAAAATTTGATACATTAGCGTTTTTTAACACACCCCCCCCCCCCTTGGGACTCGTGCGTGATAACGTCATAATCAGTGCTCATTCGAGTTGTACTGCAATAGCTGATATTTGTATTGATTTCTCAGGCCATTTTATTGGTGGGTACTTTGCATGACTGACTTCTTGAAAACTAGGTTGAGGCTCATGCTAAAAATTTGATAGTCAACGTTTTTGAAGTACCATTCATGAAGCTGTAGGCTGATGAAAAAATAGACGTCCACTTGTTTTCTCTTCGTTTGAATAAAAACAGAACCCATGATATTTCAAAAGGCATTTAGTTTGGTGTTGTTTGGTTCAGTTCATTTTCTCTGTAATATTACAGTAATATAATTAGCATTTACGGTGTCATCACATCTTCAAAGACCGAGAACGTAGTTCTGAAGAGTTTTGAGGTGTTTGAAAATGTGAATAAAATATTCATGTTATGTTGTTCTGTTCTCACTTGAATGTTTTGGTTTGTTTGTTTTGTTGTCTGTTTGTTTGTTTGTTCAAGTTGTTTTTTAAACAGTTTCCGTGTTGTTGTATTTAATGTGTTACTTTGGGGCCTTTGCATTATTTTAGCCCTTTACCTTGGTGTTTTATCGCACCGTTCCTTCTCTCCAGGTGAATGTTGTGAGTATAAAGGTGTTGACATTTTCCTCTTCTCCAATTTATTTCAGATTTTGGAAGAAAGCATAGGAGAAGGAACTGATTCAAGATCTCTTTAACATCTAAAGAAAGGAAGTAAGGCCAAGTATGTATTTTTGTTTGTTGGGATTTGATTTAAATTCTATTTATTGTAGAGTAAGAGGTGTCATATTTACTTTCCCTATTTCCAAGATAAATGTTTGTGGTCACAATTTACTTTTCAACTTTTGGAAGGAAGGCGGACTACCATCTACATTTGCCATCTACAGATCTCCGTTTTCCCATTTTGTCTGATTTTGAAAACATTTATCACTAAGTAACTTTACATTTTGTCTGAAAAACTCGGCCATTGGTTAGCAGTCTTTGCGTCTAATTTCTTCTTCAAATTTCTTGCGTATGTGGAGATGTCATTGAATTCCAAGAGGATGCGTAAATAATTTGCAGTCGGCGGATTTCTTGTTGTTGTTTTGTTATTTTAGAGGACAACAGGGAAATGTACAATTTTTAAGCGCACGTGCTCAGCTATTATTCTGCTCATTAAATCTTTTGTTTCGCCACGTTCTCGTTGCCATAGTAGGTCTGGCTATTATATGGTGCTGGCAAAGAGCTTAGAGTTGGGTAACAAGCTGATCTGGTTTCGATTATTGTAAAATTATAAGTTATAATTATTATTGTTGCTACCATTTTCTTCTTCCAAGTACTGAAAAGTTCACAAGTTTAAAATGGAGTTCAGAGGAGAAGAGAGTATCTTTTACTTGTTTTGGTGAGTATAATTGCTGTGTTACTGTGGACATTCTTAACAAAAATCTATGTAATTCGTTGGAATTTTCCGTTTTAGTCATTTGCATCGGCAAGTATTTTCGTAGAGCAGAAAATTGTTTTCCGGTGAATCAGAAATGTTAAATTCTCCCTTCCTCTCGCTTACATCAAAAATGTACGCGCTCATTCTGAAGTAAAACACACACCTTTTGAAATATTTAGTGTTGTTTATTACAGATGTTTTATTGATTTATTGCCAGTTACATATGAAGTAAAAAAAATATTCATTATATTTTTGTACAGTTTCCTTTAGAATTAAGAGGAAGACAGAAGAAAATAAAAGGTCCAAGAAAGAATCGGCGTGGAAAAGAAGGAGAAGTTTGCTAACATTTCGAACTGTCGCGTGCAGAACTCTTGCAGACGATTGAAACTGGTTTCGATGCAAAATGTAATTGATTTATTTTGAGTTGAGTACTACAGAATAAAACAGCACCGAAGCCCTTCATGGATGGTGGGCGGATCCTTTTCCGAGGTTGACATTTTTGAGGATCAATTCTCCACCCTTAAATAGCATTAAAAATTAACCATCCCAAGTAAGAGATCAGGGGGAATTGTCAACCTTGGAAGGAAGAAAAACTGGAGGTCCATCCACCACCGTCCCCCTCCACGCCCGCCTCTCACAAACAGTTGCTATGTAATTTGAGACGAGTTTAACATTGTGGTACGACATATTGTAGTAAGCATGCGTTTAGTTTGATCATCTCAGACAAACATAATCTTACAGCACGCATGTGTATTAAAAGATGTAGTTTACCACAAGGATTTACTTGTTTGAAATTACAAAACAACTGTCTATGAGAGGTGGGTGTGGTGGGGGACGGTGGCGGATCGACCCCCGATTTTTTCGTTCTTTCCAAGATTGACAGTTCCCCTTGGTCTCTTACTTGAGATGGACATTTCCCGCCGAAAGACTTAGGAAAATGTTTCTTCAAAACACACCATGGATGCCCATCCGTACTTTACGTTATATAATTACACCAGAAGGACAAAGTTGACGGAGGTTTCTGGCTACCCAATTTACACTTATTTTCGAGGTTGAAGTCTTTCTTTAGCCTCTTTCGTGAAAGGTTTGAAATACCTGCGAAGTAAGGAGAAAGCAACGAAATTCTTAATTTCTGTAATATTATTTTAGATGGCTTCATATCTAAATTACAACTTTCCCTTTAACTTTACCACAACAGTTGTACTCACCAGATTGTTAATTATCCAGGTCTCCTTAACGTTTTCAACTTGTAATCTTCGCTTTACTGAAAAGAAATTAAAAAATGCAAGATGTTAAAAAAAATTCCTATTCCGCTACTTTTCAGTGACATTCTAAATACAACAAAATTAAATATTTCCTTTCAATTAAACGAAAACTACGTAAAAGGAGAAAAAGTTTTCACATAATCTGGTTGTACTTAAAATAACATTCCTCGTCAAGGTTGAGTGTAAATGTGCAGGCCAACTACACAGCTCAGAAATAATTCAGTAACGTTTCATTCAAATTTGGTACTTTTTACCTTGATGGAGAGGAATGCAAAAAAAAAAAAAAAAAAGGAAAATGAAAATTTTGATTCCTTCAACAATAACAAGTGAGTTGGTTAATTACCAAAAGGCAACACGTGCTCTTGAAGACAACTTTTCACCACCTGCACAGTGTTTGATCGTTTAGCGATAAGAAATCTAAGCTTCAGATCAAGAGTACAAATGCAACCTAAGAGATTTAAGTCAAACGTCCTTTTTTCCGGAAAAGCATTCAAAATTAATTGACAAATTAAACCCATTGCAGTGAATACCAGTAACAATCCCTTTTTTGCTTTCACAAGGCTGTTTATCACTTGACGACTTCGAAATTTTTAGATTGGAATCAACTAGTTCTGTGACCTATTAGTAAGAGACATTGAGGTGATTCTTCGAAGAAGCACACACCATTGGTTTGTCCTTGATATGGAGTGCTGCTTCGATATCCCAGGTTTACGGCCACAAATGCTGCACTGGACTATGGTCTTCCGTTTTTGATCTATGATACTGCTTTGAGCAAATGCAATCATTTGTTGATTTGATTATTTTTACATAATATTGCTGTCACACAGCCAATAACCAGAAACATTTCCACCCTTACATGATATTTGCAAGAGTCAAAACACTCTTGATCGATGGAATGTTGTTAGTCCATGGTACTATTAGACTATAACAATTTATCAGAGAAAGAGTTGAAAAGATTTTCTTGAAAATCAAAACTGGAGTGTTCTCTAAGAATATCATGGCCAGACTGCAAATATCTCAAGTCTTACACCAACAGGAGAATCACAAAACAAGATGCTCTCTTAGACATACAAAATATTTTGTCAATGTCATGGAGTCAATTAAGTCCTGTAGAACACAGCTCTAGGTTCTCCTTTTTTTTTTAATCTCTCACTGATCAAAGAGTCAGTTAATGAGAACACTTCATGAAAACATGAAAACCGCAAATGTTGTTTCAAGTTTCAATTCTTTTAGCAATTCTTCATAATCAACAAATGTGTTTGTCCAAGTCTCAGGTTAAGTCTAACTATTTTCGGCTGAATATCTCCAAATCAATCAAATAAAAAACCTTCAGGGCCGATTGCACTGCACAATACACACACCTTATTCAATTGTTTTGATGTAATAAGTGCAGACATTTTGCAGGTTACAGTTTTTTTTTTCTGAGCCCCTTTGGGGCAGGGAAAAAATATGAATAATGAGCAAAGTGTCCCACTTGTTATATGTTGAAAAATCGTATGATTTTCTAGCATTTTGGCTTTTAGTTTTAAAAATAAATCCTACACCCTAATCTGAACATTGTGTTGATCGCATAGGGCGAGTGCAAAAGACCAAAACAACACAAAGAAAACTATGAGAGTGTTCTTTATGACCAGCAATGAGTTTGATGTGCTTAAAATTTTGCTGCTTTAAAAAGTCATGCCTAAAAAAACTGAAAAAAAAAACCAAAAAGTTTGGATCGTTTGGTAAAGCCACTTAAAATACACCAACCTCTGATGCCCTAATAGGATAAATTGATGTACAGTACTATTGGTCTAATAAAATGACAAAATAAAATGAAAGTACTGTTACCTTCCACGTAAATGTCTTTTCTCTTGACAGCATGACAATCCTTAGGATCCAACTGCCTCTAACATCAAGATGAGCCGTCCAAAAGTTTCTGGTCAATGTATTTCAAAGGGGATCAACTTCTCATTGGCATATATTCTTCAATCCAACAGGGACATGATAGGCTTGCTCTTAAACACCCATCTCTTGTACACAGTTCAAGATCCTTTCAGCACAGTAAGACAGTCCTGTTCCAAAACAACTTTCACACTCTTCTCTTTATTTTTTGGTGGACCAAGTCTTAGCATCACAGATCAAGACTGAGGAAGAGACTTTGTGGATGATGCTAACACCATTGTGGATCAGCAATTAGTCACCCATCTCTTGTGCACAGTTCAAGATCCATTCAGCACAGTAAGACAGTCCAGTTTCCAAAACAGCTTTCACACACTTCCCTTTGTTTTTTTGGTAGACCAAGTCTTAGTATCACAGATCAAGACTGAGAAAGAGACTTTATGGGTGACGCCAACTCCATTGCAGGTCAGCTCTTAGTCACACCATCTCTTGTGCACAGTTCAAGATCTGTCTAGTGCAATTAGACAGTCCAGTTTACCAAAACAGCTTTCACACACTTCTCTTTGTTTTTTGGTGGACCAAGTCTTAGCACCAAGGATCAAGACTGAGGAAGAGACTTTATGGGTGATGCCGACTCCATTGTGGGTCAGCTCTTAGTCACACCATCTCTTGTACATGGTTCAAGATCCGATCAGCCCAACAAGACAGTCCAGTTTCCAAAACAGCTCTCAAAAGCTCCTCTTTGTTTTTCGGTGGACCAAGTTTTAGCATCACAGATCAAGACTGGGGAAGAGGCTTGATCAATGGGGAAGATTCCATTGCAGGTCAGCTATTAGTCACCCATATTTTGTAAACAGTTCAAGATCCTTTCAGCGCAGCAAAAAAGTTCACATTTCTACAAGCTCTCTGTCTTTTCTCTTTGCTTTTTGGTGGATTGTGTATTGTTTCATGTTGCAGCCACAAGTTCAAACAACCAGCCAAAGGACAATCACCTCTATCACCTAGGAAGGAAATTATAAGAAATGGTTAATAACTATTAAAAATTAATTAAAAAAATTAAGTTGAAACTTCCTCAATACATAACTGTATATTGGACTTCTGGACTTGGAGAGCATGGCAAAAATGGAAAAAGGAATCAATCAATCAACATGTCTATTGTAGAATGGTATTTAACCCTTTATACTCAATATCAGCAATCATATTCTCCATACTGTTCTCTGAACATTTACAATGGTGCTGATAAGAAGAATTTGTCTAACAATCAAGAGTTTCTTTAGTTGGTGATCATTTCCTTTATTCTCATGACATTAATGTGTGATTCAGTGGTGACATTGTAAGGAGAAATTAGATGCTAGTCACTCTTGGGGGTTAAAGGGTTGAGAGAGATCTGAAATGGAGTTATCCAGTTGCAACTCTCTAAATTGTAACCATAATGATTAAAAATTGTCATTTTAGTAATAAATATAATTTAGATAAAAGATAATTTGATTTAGGAAAAAAAGAAGTCATCACCTCTGATAATTGATTAAGAAGAAACAAAACTGGAGTAAACATATTAAAATTGTTTCCCTTTTCTGGTCGCTCTAATAATTGCAGTACCAAAATATACTTAAAAACCCCACCCTTAAACAGGTTCAAATGTACTGAGTTTCTCTTTTTAGCACAACACTTGCAGTCAAACCAGTACTGACTCTTTAACTCCAAAGATCTCTTTAGCAATTCTCCTTACTGTTTACCATACAGTCCTTGTGATGTTAGTTTGGAGAATTTGGTATTGGATCAACTTTCAATCCCCTAATTGATCTTTTTCTCTATTCTTGTTGCTTGTCTGCTTGATATTGTATTAATATTGTAAGGAGAAATTCTGTCTTGGTCATTCATGGGAGTTAAAGGGTTAATGTTATGGAGAATGGTGGGGTGACCATTAAATAGAGGTTGACAGCTTAACACAGGATGACCTGCAAATGACTTGCATGATCTTTATGCCTAATATTTGTCCTAACAGTCCAAAGAATAGACTAAGATATCTGCAATGCATTGAACTAAAACTTTGAACTAAAAGTACTAATTGATTCTGGGAGATAACCAGAGATTAAATTATATGAAAGATTATCCTTACTTTTCTTTAGTGGTTCGGCTTGATTGGACAATTCATTTCACCTGAAAGAAAATACAAATAGACCATTGGGACTCAGTCGAGGATGACCATGACCTTATAATAGTGGTCACTACCTGATAAAGGAGAAAATTACACTATCTCATGGAAAAAAGAATTTCAGTACTTTGACAACCAACTGCTTAACCTCTTGACTCCTGTGAGTGACCAAGAGGGAATTTCTCTCTACAACATCTATTCAATTTCAAGCACAAAAGTGATGGGATTAATGAAAAATATATAGATTAGGGAATCACTAGCTGATCCAATATCAAATTCTCAGAACTAACATAAGAATTTTATGGCAGACAGTAAGGAGAATTACTAAATAAATGTAATCTTGGGGGTGAAAGGGTTAATACAATACTGTTTAATACAGGTTTGACTGTAGTGTGTTTAGGGTTTAAGTGCTTAAGATCCATTCACCATCCCTGGTGAAAATCTTTCAAGGATCTTTAAGGATCTTACAAGATCTTCATGAGGACCTTTGAGGATCCTCTTGAGGATCTTCATGAGGATCTTCAAAATTCTTGTTAAGATCTTCAAGGATCCTTCATTTTCTTGCCAAGATCTTCAAGGATCTTTGATTTTCTTGCCAAGATCTTCAAGGATCTTTCATTTTCTTGCCAAGATCTTCAAGGATCTTTCATTTTCTTGCCAAGATCTTCAAGGATCTTTGATTTTCTTGCCAAGATCTTTGAGGATCTTTGATTTTCTTGCCAAGATCTTTGAGGATCTTTGACTTTCTTGACAAGATCTTTAAGGATCTTTCATTTTCCTGTCAAGATCCTTGAAGATCTTTACATGAACTTTGAAGATCCTTTAAAGATCTTTGAAAATTCTTTGAGGATCTTCCAAATTCCTGTTAAGATCTTTGAGGATCTCTCATTTTCTTGACAAGATCTTCAAGGATCTTTTTGAAAATTTTGAAGATCCTTAAAGATCTTGGAAAGAAAATAAAAGACCCTTAAAGATCTTGGCAATAAATTGAAAGATCTTTGAAGATCTTGGCATAAAAAAGAAAGATCCTTGAAGATTTTGACAGCCAAATTAAAGATCTTTGCAAGAGATTTGAAGATCATTAAAGATCTTGACAAGAATGTCAGTGAACCTTGAAGATCCTGGCAAGGAAATGGAAGATCGTTGAAGATCTTAGCAAGAATGTTATAGAACCTTCGAAATTTTGACAAGAAAATAAGCATACTTAAATCCTCATACTAAGTTAAAAAGAAAAATTGAACCAAACATAAAAAAATGAAGATAAAACTTTTTTTTATTGCTAAACGAGAATTACACATCCTCTTCTAGTAGGACTACTTCTACACTATTTCTGTTCAGACTTTAGGTTAGTACTAAGATTTTCATTTTCCAAAAAATCTGGCAACAGTCCAGCTCAAAGATAAGAAGACCAAAATATATGTGTTCAACTTGTCTAGGACTAGACTATGATCAGACTCAGACTACTCTTACAGAGGGGGTAAACATGAAAAAAAGGCAAACAAGAGTACTTCAATGACTATATTTCTGAACCATATTAACCTATATACCAAAGGAAAGCTTAGGAATCACACATACTGAATATAACTAATATGTTGCCCTAAACTAATTTGTTATTTGACATCAGATCAATTTGTCCACCACATGGTGTGAAAAACCTAGGTAAACTTGAGAAAAGATAACTGCACAAAGATTGCATGAATTCAAGTGTTTTTAGTGTCAAAACAAAGTACTAGGGTCGTTCTTTTGGATGAGCTGAGGAACTTTTGGAGTCGTTTATATTATGGGCACAATGCCCGTTCAGAGTTCACCGAGATTATTAGGTGAGTTATTCCACAACATCTTACTTAAAATTCAGCTTATAGAGAAACTGTCAGCTTATCCAACTCAACTCAGTAAGAGGATACAGCCCTGAAAACTTCAGATTAATTGAACTAATACATCCTGAGGTACAAAATAAGTGTTTTCGGGAATTCATATGACAACCTTTAAAAGAGCTTTTTAAGTTGGTTACACAGAACCAAGTAAATTCACACCTTCTTCAGAAACATGTCCTTCAGTGAGCGTCGAGGAGAATCTCTCTAGATCGATAAGCCTGTATCCTTGTCCCTGTACACATCATTTGCATCCTCACTCTCCAAGAGCTCAGAGTAAGAATCATTAGGCGAGGATGGCATCTTCATTTTCTTTCCAGAAGTACCAATGAATTCTTTTTATTCAGCCTCACAGTCAGAGCAATCGCGAGACCTGCTTGGAGTTTGATTGACGATTTCGGTTGTTTCTGTCTCTCTTTTCGGTTGTTTCTGTCTCTCTTTTCGCTTGTTTCTGAACTCCAGAAAACGCCCTTCCTTTACCTTTATTTCTGTGTACATTTTCCCTTTAGTTCCGACCACTGTCGATGATATTTGCCGTAACGACGAGTTTCTTATGTTTTTATGCGACCGTTAAAAATCTCGGCGCGTATAAATTCCTATCCCATAATGCAAAACCCTACTTGTTGTCATGTAAGTAGTCACAAAGTTTCCCGAAAGCCTCGAGCATGGCGTTGCTATGCGGTAACCTTCATTACACTCATTGCACAATAATTTTCTGCGAAAATTCCTTGTTGTGTTTAAATTATAAAACAGTGAGCCCTCAATTTACAATTTTGTTATGTTTGAAATTACTTGAGGATTTCAAAGGAACCTAATTCATAATGCAGAGATGTGGTAGAGATCTTGACAAAGTTGCCTTTGAGATCCACATCAAATTCAAAAAGGATCCTTACAAAGAGCTGTACAAAATCATGAAATGAATCTTTTAAAGATATTTGGAAGATCCTTTTCAATTCCTTGAGGATCTTAAAGGATTATAGAACAGATCATGCAAAGATCTTGACTAGGATCCTTGTAACTCCTAATCAAATTCTTAAGGATCTTAGCAAAGATGTTAGCAGGATCCCTAAAAGGTTCTTTTGAAGGTCTTTAAAAGATCCTCATTAAATCCTTGAGGATCCTGAAGGATCCTTGAAAAGATCCTGCAAAGATCTTGACTTAAGGATCCTTGTAAGATCCTGATCAAATTCCTAAGGATCCTGGCAAAGATCTTTACAGGATCCTTGAAAGGATCTTTTGTAGGTCTTTAAAAGATCCTCATTAAATCCTTGAGGATCTTGAAGGATCCTTGAAAAGATCTTGCAAAGATCTTGAGTAGGATCCTTGTAAGATCCTGATCAAATCCTTAAGGATCCTTGCAAAGATCTTAATAGGATCCTTGAAAGGATCTTTGGAAGGTCTTTAAAAGATCCTCATTAAATCCTTGAGGATCTTGAAAGATCCTCAAAAAGATCCTGCAAAGATCTTGACTAGGATCCTTGCAAGATCCTGATTAAATCCTTAAGGATCCTTACAAAGATCTTGAAAGGATCCTTGAAAGGATCTTTTGAGGGTCTTTGAAAGATCCTTGCTAAATCCTTGAGGATCTTGAAGGATCCTTGAAAAGAACTTTGCGAGGATCCTTATGAGGATCTTTGTAATATCCTTTGAGGATCTTTATCAAATCCTTGAGGATCTTAACAAACGTTTTTGCTTACAAAGATCTTTGAGGATCTTTTACAGATCCTTTAAAGATCTTTTAAAGATCCTTGTCCTTAAGGATCTTTGGCAGGTCTTTGTCAATCCTTGAAGATCCTCAAAGATCCTGTGAAGTTTTTCACCAGGGATATGCAATGAATCAACAAAACCTTTTTCATAGCATTTCACATAATTTTTTTAAGAGATTTAAGCTGCACAATAACAGGTCGGTGATATTTCACATTGGACTCAATATAATAAGTCTGATTGGTAAAGAACATTCAATCAACAAAACATCTGCAGTGGATACTGCATTTATCATTCCAAGTTCAAAGTATACCAAATTTTCAGGTCCTTTTTCAGTGTAGTTTTCCCAAACTTTTGCAAACTCAGAGAGGTGTCCTTTTAAGGCAGATTCTTTAAAAAATGTACAACACAATTATTGAATTTAGTTCACACAAAATATTATAAATTATCAAACCTCCTGTTTGTGTTACATGTATCTGTCTCAGCCTTCTGCTTTGGCAGATAACTCAGACCTCGGTTTGGATTATGCATGAAATCAACCTCATCCAATAATTGCTTTGTGGATGTTGAAATATTCAAATATCTCTTTTGGAGTCTGTTACAATAAAAGAAAAAGGGTCATCTCAAAGATCTACAATCATGCATTGCAACGAGTTATCCTTGTGCTTCATGCACATTCATAACCACCGAATGTTCCTGCAGTGTAACTCTACATTATAATGCACCAGTTCCTAAATTTATAATCCCTTGGAAAAGAAAAATTGGGCAACATGCTTCAAAGTCACAGGGACCCACCTGTAAATATTACTTACAAATAGTAGTTTGAAAATCAATGATACCCTTTTGAAAATATCAGTGACTAAATTAATGATTGATAAGGAAGTGCTTGAAAAATTTTATTCTACATTTGTAGTTGACAAATTCATAATAGGCCATTTTAAGAAAGGTATTTTCAGAGTCACAGCACAGAAGAAATTTCACAATTCAAAATGAAATCTTTCTTTTGAAATGTTAAGTTTAAACAGCTAAATTTGATTTGACTTTTATAGAATATAATGTCTTTCAGAATGTGTGATAAGGATCATGCCTCTTAAGTGAGTGCTTTGATATGTTGTAGAGAAAATCTTAATTTGATTTGGCTTTTATAGAAAGTAATTTATTTCAGAATGTGTGATATGGATTATGCTTCTTAAGTGAGTGCTTTTATACATTGTAGGGAAAAGCAGAAATCCAGAGGAGTTAGTTTCTCCAATAACTTCTTGTACAGGAAAGCAGCTACCCTCTTGGAAACCATGCATAATATGCTACCCCTTTTATAGAGCAGTATGTTGATAAAAAACACACAACTACTTAAAAATTGCATACACTCTGCTCACCAAAATATTTCACTGACAAAATGAACATATAAGTATCACTTCCCCTTTTTAAAGAAATATTCAAACTGTGAGACTAATAATAAGTGCATCAAAAAAAGGAAATACAAATTTAAATTAAAGGAGTAAAATATTCATATTTTAGTCAACTCCTTTGGGAACTTTCAAAAACATTTCCTCTTGCCCATGGAAACTTTGTGAGCATTCACTTTTTGGATCAATATTAGTATCTAGGCAACCGCCCACCTACCTCTCCCCTAAGCCAACAATAGTCAATTGATAACAAGTTAGGGTTAATGTTGGGTTAGGGGAGGGGTAGGTGGGCAGTTGCCCAGATACTGATATTGATCCCACTTTTTTAAGTCTACCAGCTACAAACACATTTCTAGAGTGACTACCTTATAATTTCTAAAAGCCCTGAATCAAACATTAAGGTCAAATAAGAAAAAGGAAATGATCACCAACAAAAGAGGGTCTTCATTGTCAGACAGAGTCTTGTTGACAGTACCATAGTAAATGTATAGAGAACAGTATGGAGAATATGTATACTGATGTTTGGATGCAATAAGCTAACATCGCAAAACAAATGCAAAAAATATCTGAATTTCCCACTAAACGTTTAGAATATTTCAACCAGGCTACAAGCTTACTTAGAAGCAAAGCATATAACTTGAGTTAGGAATAAACTGGATGGAGAAAACAATTTTCCATGCAGTTTTCGACTTTTAGTCTTATTATGCTCACCTACAACACACATGGTCTCCATTTTGGTCTTCTCCAACCAGTGTTGCTATTGTTCCATCCTAAGACCACAATACGAAAAAAAATATATAATCTGAGAGGCAGCTGATATTCGAATTGCCACCTTCCGTCTGGCTTTGTATTAAAAATAACAAGATTTGTCCATCATTGCCTCTAACCACGTCGCCATTTTGGCTTTATTTCACTTGTGCCCAGTACTTCTCGATAAAACGCGTCACGCTACACGCGAAATTGCAGGTCAACACGCAAATCACCTAGAGATTCCTTAATTTTACGGCTCATGGCCAGGGGGATAGGATTAATATGGGTTTATCGAATATTTATGACAGGACATCGTTTTGATTCACGGACACGAGACTTTGATATTACTATATTCACGAGCGAGCGAGTCTGGGAGATTAAAGGCATTAGGATTTTAGTCACTCTCTTAGCTTGGTTTTTCGGTTTTGGTTTTGTTGCGGTTTGCGGATTTTCCCCTCTTTCAGCATTTTTTTTTTTTGGTCCTCGGCCAAAAAAAAAAAATCCAAGAGGTCTTTCGGAACTGGTATACAATAATTTCCTCTTTAGAACTGGTAAGTTCCCGGTGACGATTAGAAAATGTAGCAAAATGTATCTGTTTGTTTCGTCTGTGTAACCGCACGTTATACCATTTTACTGTCAATTCAAGCTACACGTAACTGATTACTAACCATTTCAATTCAATCTTGGAATTTGAGTTTAGATTCTCAAAAATTTCGGATTTTCGGGAGGTTCTCAGTGCCGAAGGTTATACTTTTGCGATCGCAAAACTCCTCTAGGGTGGGGTATCGTGGTTATGTAGAGGACTTTGGCTCTTTTTCTCAATTCAAAAGGACATTAGAAGACGTAAGGCTAATAATATAATTTATATTTTGATATATATATTTTTCGACTTTTCGCTGCAACAGCAGTGAGTAAAAGGCATTAACATGCGTTATTGACATGTTTCTATTAATACTATCGAATTAACAGGAGTATCTATAAGAAAACAATAACTGCTGGAAACACCTGCCGGTCACTTCAAATCTATTCCCCCCTTTCCCCATCCATGAAGAGTATTTTTAATTCCGGCATTTAGCAACGGAAAAAACTGGACATTGCACCCTTAAATCTTTGTCTGTGTCCAGGGCTTCTGAGCATGAATAATTTTGCGTTGGAGCTCTAGTCTCAGATTTCTTCTTAGTTCATCCTCCTTTCTCTTGTAACTAAGCTCTATTGCATTTTTCTCGCCCTCAAATATTTTAGCGAGTTCATCTTTCTGAATCCTCAAACAATCCAGTCCTTCCTTGAGTCCATCTATACTCTGGAGCAGGTAAGCTCGTTCATAAGCATACCTCGCTCGACATTCGTCTTCGGTAAGTTTCCTAACCGTCATTTTGTCTTGTTCGAACCTCTCTGTCATCTCGGCTTTTTCTCTTTCAAATGATTTCAATAAAACTTCTTCTTGTTTGCGTAGCAAGCTCAGAAGTTCTTCACGATCGAGGTTCGTGTTACCATCGCAACTGCCTTCTCCTTGAACTTCGAAATTTCCGCGCTCTCCTGAGCTTGCACCCAGGCCCTTTAGACAATCACAGTCGCCCGGATGTTGGAGCGCATCTCGATGGACATGTTTAGTAAAAAGATCGAACGATTTCCTAAGATGGCGGAGTTCATTCAGAAAAAAATCCTTCTCCTCGGTGAGAACCCGGATGAGGTCGTCTTTTGTCTTAATAATCTCGCTGTACTCATCCCTCAACTTGGTTTCAAGGTAGTCTTTCTCTTTAATAAATGCTTTTTCCATTTCTTCTCTCGCTGGGTGAAACTCATCTTTCAAAGCCTCCAGCTGTTGATGCAAAGTTTCATAAAATTCTGTTTGACTCGAAGAATCTTCTGTTTTTGACTTTGCGTGTACGGCTTTTTCAACACAATCTCCGCCTTCGTTATGATTCTCGGCATCCTCTCCTCCTCTCGAATCGTTATCGTCGGATTTACAATCAGCTTTCAGCTTCTCCATTAGCTGACGGACTTTTTCTGACTCTTCCCCGCTGTAGCTGTTCCAGAGGAGGTAAATATCTTGAAGAAAATCTTGCCAAAGACTACGGTGTGTCGGGGAAAGCTTAAAACCCGGGACGCTTTCAAGTTTGGGGAACGAGCTCTCCTTGCGAAAATTTGATTCCCATCGGAATTCACTTCATCATAGTCAATATTTTGCAAGAAGCTGCAAACGACAGCAGGTGTTAAAATAAGTCTTCAAGGTTCTTCGTTGCCCTTTGTGTGAAGTAAAAAATACCTGTATTATTAAAGGGATAATTTGCGTAAATGACAAACTCCCCGACTTAGCAACCATCGAAAGCGACAGAATCCCCTTATTAAATTTTCATGAAAAGTAGTTTGGAAGGCCGTCTCGTTATAATTTCTATGCTCTTTTTTCAAAACCTCGTTCGATCAAAGTAACAGACATGGCTTCGTTCTTACCATGGAAAACAAAGTACTTAATATAGTATCAACTGCACGTTTAACCCACCTCTACTCTCCCGAACCAATTTTCTCAAAGCAAAACAAAACAAAACGAGTATTTGTGTTAGAAATGTGGGCTACTGGCCAATATTAATTCTATTCATCTGAAACGCTCTGAATACATAAATAATATTAACCATTTTGTGGTTTTTATTTTCAACTAAAGCTTTCTCTATTTCACCAATAGTGCGAAGAAAACATGAAGTGTAAGATTCATTAACAAAGTAGAAACACTGAGAAGCATAACTCGGTTATTCAAACACCTTGTGGCTCTTAAGCTGACATTTTTGGGAAGGAATTAATAAAAAAGCCTAATTAATAATACACAGATCAGAGAGGCTATTTAGATTTTCTATTAACACAGTGACAACTTTGGAATAAAAAAATTACCTCAAGGTGTTTGTGATAAAAGATGACGAACGAATCATGTAAAGTAAACCTTCAAAACAGCCGTTGGAATTTGTGAAAACCTGTAGATATTACCATATATTCCTTGACTTGATAATCGTAAATGTTTTCATATATTATCGATTGCAAAAGCATTGACATGTAAGAAAAGCGTTTGCAATGAACGATGAGACCCTAAAGCTCTTCATGTACACATGTACACGATACCTACCATTAGTACGTGGTGAATGATGGAAGCTATTCACGTTCTCCTGGAAATAAAGGATTTCGTGAAGGGAGAGAGATGTGAACTGATTTTGTATCTGCACAAACATTTCCCATAAAACCGTTTGGTCTCATCGTTCTTGGATCATGTTTTTGAGGTGTCAACGTTTTTGCAATTGAGCGTTTGCGTGTGCCCAGGCGCTTGTAATGGTAAAATCATGGCAAAGTTTTCATAGAATCATTTCACATGAAAATTTAATCGGCTTTTAAAAAACTGCTGTGACGGTTTTTCAAAATAGTTTTTGACGCCTACCGGTAGAAAGGACCTCACTTACGCATGCGCCTTAGAGCTCCGACAGCGGTTTGTGACTGAACGAGCAGAAACCCGAATTTTTAAGCTCAGGCCGTCTACAGAACGCCAGAGTAATAAGGCGAGAGACAAATTTTTAATTAGGGCAGCCTACATATGTTTGACGCTTCTAAAATGAGTACCATACATCTTGGCACGCTCCTCTACTTTTTAAAATTTTTTTTTCTTTTTTCAATTTCCCGTTTATTTGAAACGATGCCTGATACTGGTCTTGGTGTTAAAAGTAGTCACCACAAGACAACATTGTGTGGGAAGAGAGGGTGAATTCCCGAGAAATTTACCAGATATGAATTACGAGACTTCTATTTATCACGTTGAATAGAGAGTTGTCGACCACCTGTTAAGGGAAGGCATGCCAACCAATTCAGTCTATAAGGGTAGCCCATCCTAAATTAGGACTTCAACCTCTTAAATACACTGCTGTCAAAAACCTTACTGCTGTCAAAAACCTTACTGCTGAAAGGAAAATGTATTAGTAAATTCAGTAAAACTTAAAGGCGGAAGTTATCATAAAAACCTGTTCAACGTCATTTCCCAAGAAACGTTCTAAATGGTAAAAATAGCCATTTGTACCCCGAAGAGAAAATAATAACAGCATTCAGATATTTTAAAAACTGTTTAGAAGTCTTTGTTTGAGCAACAATGGAAAATTGTATGTTCTGTCCATAACTTAAATATCAAAATATTTGAATTTTGTTCAGAGAGATGAAAAATACTGAACAAAAAGACACTGTACATACTGCACAATTCTGTTACTGTAAAGACTTGTGCCAATCGACAGAGATCTGTAAACGTTCCACGGTGTAGATAACAGATTTCGTAGACCTTTAAAATCGTAACATCGTGTCGTATGAACAAGTTTATCAAAGAACGCACTGAAATCCTTCGAAATCCTTTTTCCTTTCAAAAACCTGAATTGCTAGGACAGTCCTTAAAAATACACCGGTAGTTTTCCCCTTTTGCTCTTCCGCTGGACTTTTGACCGTCGTAGATCTCTTTAGAACCTTTGGTTACGTATCTATCTTCCAGCCTCGAGTCGAAATCTTTGTATCGATTATCGCGGATTCCGTCATCTTTGTCATCGTACTTAAAACCTATGAATTTTGATGACGGGTTATATGACGAACTATCCAAACTCTCTTTATCGTGTCCACTGGCATATTTGCTTTTGTATGTGGAGTCGAGATAGTTTGAGGATGCGCTGTATGAAGCATCACCAAACTCCTTGTTATCGTTGCTTCTGCTTCTGTGTTCGGAATCGAAGTATCTTGGTGATGAGTTATATGACATAGGAGGTAGCTCATCGTGGCTGCACAAATCTCCGATTAGATTCTGAAGAGCTGATCTCTGATGACGCAGTTGCTCGTTCTGTAAATGTGATGTTTTCTGTCCATCTTCCAAGTCTTGCAAACTCTTTTCTAAGTTATCATTCCTCATATGCAATTCCTGAATCACTTCCCCTGACATTCCTGCCATACTTTCCACGTCCTGCATCTATGAGAAGAATCAAATATAACGTGATTTTGATTGATTTTTATTGCTCTATATTGATTGATTGATTTGTCAATACGACATGAACCATACTTTCGACCAATCAGTTGAAAAACTGAAGCCAACCTCAACTCGGTTATTCGCGTTTTCCTGCGCTTTAGGCCATTTGTCGCCTCCACTCTGAGTTTCTATTAGCTTTTTGTGATATGTTCTCTGGTTCTGAATGGTGGATCATAATCCTTCTATTTTTTAGATTTGCAACACTAGATTTATAGAAAAGCGCTAAAAACAGTATTGTTCCCCCATATTTAGCATTGTCTAAAAACCATTTTGAAAAGTCTTCACACGATAAGACTTACTTATGGGAGGTTAAATATGTGGTTATTCAGGACAATAACTGTTACCCTTTTATCGCTAGAACTGACTGTGTCCCTGAGATGGGGTGCAACTGAGATCTTATTATATGGTGACATCAATTATCATGATGACAGAGAAAGGAGAATCGTATTGTATAAAAGGTTCCCAACCTTCTCATTTAAACGTGTAACGTATTCATTCATAGCTTCCCTAGCCAGGAAAAGCTTAGTCTCCAACTCCTTTTTCTCCACCTCCAGTTGAGCGATCCGGGCCGGGTCCATAGCCACTGATGAGTAAGACAAATCCTCTCTGCTACCTTCAAATTGAGTCCTGATGATCTGACCAATGGTGAAAATTTCTCTTTCGATTCTCTTTAGTGCATCAAGGTCCAGTTCTCCACGAGAGCTAGAAAGCTCTCGGCCAGTATGCAAGAGCCTATCTTGTAAGCCCTTAATGTTGTGAAGACTTTCAGTCTTGCGGGTGGATATTTCTGTCTCAAAACTGGTAGCCTAGAATGAGAATGATGAGTAAAATTGCTAGTAAATATCTGTGGGCCTTATTATCAACAAAAGCGCTTTATTTCCCATACACAAAGTAGATGTGATCACAAAGTGAAATCGTCAAGACTTCAGGCGAGGCATTTTAATTCTTAACAGAAAGGGTAAATAACCTTATTGATTCAAAACTGACATCGTTACAGGCTCACACGCAGGGCGTTCGATAGTGAGGAATGAGTTAAAGTTACTTTATCTCGTCACTTCTTGAGTTTTCTGAAGCCGCTCTTGGTTTGTGCCATGTATCAATACTCACACTTACAGAAATTAATCTATTTTCTCACCTTTTCTTTCTCATTTTTCAGTTTTTCCAACAGCCGTTCCAGTTGATTTTGCAATTCTGAAGTTCTTTCTTTCAGGGAAGAATTCTCAGAGACCAGGCGCTTGATTCGTTCAGTTTCGTCACTTTTCTCTAAGGACTTTCCTTGTTGCTAGAAACGGAGAAACAGTGTTATAGTGTCGTATGATAAAAAGAATGAGTAAATTTGTGTAGAGTAAGCTGTCGGACAGGTTGTGAGCTCACCGAAGTTTGATGAAGTAGCTCAATCTTCTTTTGCTCCAAAGTTTTGATTTTCAGTTCCAGTTCCCTGATGACCTGAAGAAGTCTGTTCTTTTCTCGTAATGCTGCTTCATATTTTGCCTACAGAACAGAAAAGTATTTCATGATTTACGATCAATACCCACACAACGAAATGCTAAGGACTTAGTCGATATGTCAGGTCGACATACAGTTACAAATTAGACTAACAGCTTCCATCAGTCAGAGGAATTCATTCTGCAATTTTTTTGTGAAAAATCGTAGTAAATCGGCAGACCGGGGCAGACTACATGGCCGGCTTTATTCATTCATTGTTTATTTATCTATCTATTTACAAGAAAAGCTATCAAAACTAGACTACCAAAACTAGATTGACACTCACCTTGTATGAAGAATCCTGGGTGTCATATCTTACCTCTAATTCATGCTGCGATTTACCCTGCAATAAGCCAACATAATTTAGGATAAATATCGGATAACTTGGCCTTTCAGGGATAGCCGCTAATAAATCAAAACGGTTTTTAATCTTGCAGTTTTAAACGACAAAGAGCTATGTGCCTCGAGCTATGCTAAGTATTTTGTCTGGGAAGCCAAACTTTAGAAATCCAGCAAAAGCAATAAATACCTTGGGGGAAGGAGAGAACCATCACTATGAGTATAGAGACAGAACAAATTATCTACCTTTTGTCTCGGGCTCAGTACACTCCGTTGGCCTTGAATGTCATCTTTATGTCTATTGGAATCTTGTCTTCTCTGTTCTCTTCTTCGCTCTGCAGTGAGCTGAGTCTTGGTGTCGTAGTCTATTGAGGTCTTTTCAGCTTTGGCTGCTCGAGCCTCCAGCCCCCGTAGTTTCTCTTCCAAGTGCCGATCGGTGTTTTCGAACCTTCTGGCCCTATCCTCATGAGTGTGGAAGCTTGTCTGGTCATTGTGAAGTCGTTTTCTATCATCCTCTTTTTCGGCTTTCATTTTACTAGTCTCCTCAACCTGCTTGGTTCGGGTCTTGAGCCTTAGGTCTTTGTCCTGGTTTGCTTTCAGGAGTCTTTCCATTTCAGCCTTGGCTTCCTCTTTGTACTGTTTATGAAGGTCGATGTTTTCCTCCAGCGCTACAATCTTGGCTTTTAAACCTTTATTTTCACTTTTCAATGCATCAATCTCAAATCGTAACGCCGATTCGTTGTCTGTCGGTGTGTGATGAAATGACATGCTCCTGGCCTGGGGCTCCTCCATTGATCTAGATTCAGAGTCCAAGAGTCCAACTTGACCGTTGCTTGGCAAAGCTCGTTTTTCATGATACACGAGGCTGGTGTGAAATTGTGACTGCAAAGTCGAGTCATTCTTAGAATTATAATCCGTACCTACATGCTGTCCATGGATACCAGTGACAGCAGGTTGATCGACATGGGAGTTGCCAGCTAACGTTCCGGTCCCTACACTGTCTTGCTGAGGGTGTTGTAGTTGCTGATACGATTGCCAGTAGGAAGGACCTGCTTTATCACTGGCAAAATCGTGCTTTTGTTGACTACCAGTGAAGCCACCTTGAACACCACAGGAGTCGGCATCATATGCTCCTGTCCACGTGATTTCTGTCTGTGACCGTTCTTGTTGTGAATGCTGATACGATTTCCAGTTAGTAAGACTCGTCACATCTCTGACACCATCAGAGACTTCTCCACGATTCGCTGACAATCCAACAGTTCCACTTCCGAGTTCAGCCTGACGGTTTCCCCTTTGATGTTGAAACACTCCTTTACTTTCTGTTTCACCGACACGCACGTTCTGTAGGTGCCCCAGAGATGATCTCGTCCACTCACCATCACTTGGTTGCCTTTGCGAATTGTCTACTTGGCCTTTTCCCTCGACCCTTAGTCTTTCTCTTGTTTTGACAATTTCATCCTTCTCCACCTTAATTTTCTCTTTTTCTCGATCAAGCTCTTCCTGTATCTGTCGTCTCTCAGATTGTACTTTTTGATCAAGCGCCTCTTTTTCGGTGTGGAATGTCTTATCTAGTTCCGTTTTGTGATCTGCTAACAGTTTTTCAAAGTCATCCTTCAGTTTGCCACTGAGTCCTTCACGTCCTTTTGAAGTCAATGTTTCCTGAAAAAACGTTATTTCTTCGTACACTCTGTTTTTCTCCTCAATTTCAAGGCGTAGTACCTCGATTTCTTTCCGAAGGCGTTCGTTTTCTTTTCTATTCATCGATTCACCGTTGACAGATTTCTCTCTCTCTCGCTCTAATTCTTTTTCTACATCAAGTCTCAACAGCTTCTCTTCCTGCAAACTGTCCTCAAACGCCCTACTCTTTTCTTGGAATTCTTTTTCCATTCGAATTTTTTCTTGTGTCATGCTAGCTTCAAATTCAGCGCTGGATCTCTTCAAGTTACTTTCGAACTCAGAGAGGCGTAGATTGAAGCTACTCTCCATTTCGAGTTTCTCATTATTTATGCGCTGTTCCGTTTCTGATTTTTCACGTATCGCTTCTTCTTCCACGCGTGAAATTTCCCTCTCTAACATGACTTGATATTCAGCCTCCAATTTTTCCTTGAGCTCAATTTTTTCTCTTGCAAAGTTTTCCTCCATTCTTCCTTGCTCGGTTCCTAATTTTTCCCGAAGTTCTTCTAACTTCTCCTTATAATACTGGTCAAGCTGTTGTCTCTCTTCACGAAATGACTGAGTCAGTTTGTCAATCTCTTCAGCGAAGTTCCTCTGCATTTCCATCTTCTCCATAGACACGTTCTTCTCAAGCTCTGCTCTCTCTGCTCGTGTCGCCTCGTCCCACTCTAGTTGTCTGCTCCTGAATCCACGCAGAGTTTCTTCCATCCTCTTCTTGAAATACACTTCCAACGTAGTTCTTTCTCTTTCAAATATATGCAGCAGCTCTTCTTTCAAGGCCTCTTCCTCACTCTCGTTCAGTTCGATCCGAAACTCCTCTGTTACTGAACCATCGATCTCGCCGCTTAGTTGACTTACACTGTCACTTTCCCCAAAGCCACTGTCCTTGCTGGTTCGCATACCACTTTCGTTACCATCTTGTCGGTAAAATCTTCCTGCTGCCTGGCTACTTGTTATAACTCCAGATGACGAGTAAATCATTTTCTGTCTTCCTAAAGGGTGACCGTCCCCTGTAAAGCTCTTTGGTTTCTGCTCGTTATCATCAATGACTCCACAAGAGTCCATTTTCCTTTCAACATGGCTGTTTGTTGTTTCCGATGCGGAATAGGTTATCTGGCGTCCCCCAGAGACGTATTCATGGTTGTTTGAAGCTTCTTTACTGCTGTATATTTCAACTTCTGTTACTCCATACCCTGACGATTGTTCTTTGCCATGCTCACTACTTACATTGGCTGATAACGAGTGCATCAGGATTCGCCCACTGCTCTGCAGAACAGGAATGTTTGATTTCATACTGACCTTGTTTTCATTCCTGTTTGAATGCATCGCAGCAGCCACAAGCTCTTATTTCATAGACTGATGGAACATACGCATCAGAGAAAACCTGAAAATTTTACCTTAAATGTACCTACTATACTCAGATATTCAATTTACAGCGCCCTTCGAATAGCCAGAAAAGCAAAGAGAAAGGGATTGAATGAACTATTCATCGCAAGTTTTATGCCCATGATTTATGTTTAATGAGTAAAATTGAGGTTTACGCCACCAGTAGCGTAGGCCGCCGAGGGTATAATAATGTCACTAGGGAAGTTATAAACAAAAAATGTTAGTGAGTTCCGCTGCAAGTAGAAAATCGTCACTCACACGGCGAATTAAATCAACCGCCATGTCACCAAAATTGAGATAAAAGTTTAAATTAACGGGTCCAACACGAGAAGAACAAGCCTGTTACTCACACATCCAATTGCGGTTTCTTGGAATACCACCTTACTTGGTACAAGTTGCGGTTAAGGGACAACAAAGAAATAAATTATAGTATTTGACCTACAAGTAAGAAATTTCGCTCGAAAAAACCATAGAAATTCAATAAATAAAGAATCTGCGGTTTCAACAAAACCACATAATACACCGAGGTAAGCTAATTTTAAGGTGTCATTTAAAACATTTCCAACTTATTTCACGCCATTTTCCGCGGTTACAAGTATTCATCTAAATTTTCAAGGAAAATGGTAGTGCGGCGAAAGTATGTTTCAGTGTATATTCGTAGATATCGACCCGTCCTTAGCAATTTGAATCTTTACGTTAAATGCATCAATTGAGTATGGATATCTACTTCCTTAAAAACACAGTCGTGGATCACTAAAACATTAAGTTTATGGCTTCATTTATGTTTTTTCTTCTTTTTCGTTGCTTTGAAATATTTGCAAGGATGGTTCAATACAATCAATCCATTAGGATAGTTATTTCTGATGTATGTAATATCATCAACCAATAATTGCTCCTAATACCTGTAAGGAACCTGTCATTTGTCGGCAACGTGCCAATATCCCACACAGTAATGCACTCTGAGTGCTTTTGTGGTACACAGCAGCCAATTGTGATTATAGATGACGATGAGATCGTAACTTAAAGCGATGAAGCCTTGTATACCATTATGGAGGAAGAGATTGTTTAACTGTTCCTTTTTTTCCATATGCTATTTTATTATCATAGTTTTTTGTTTCTAAAGTCCTACTTGATGAACGTTGCCATCTACGATACCAATATTCAATCTAGGCTTTAAGACAGCAGTCAAATAAGAGATATCATTTCAACTCAACATCTATACTTCAACATTCATATTTTCATTAGCAGAAATACACCTCTTATTATCATAACAAGAATACTCCGTTTGTCACAGTTGAGTTTTAAAAGTTTGATGTATATCGATAGACATACCTACGTATGTTGTGAAAGAAGCTTACCTAGCTCAGGAAGTGTCTTCCACAGTCATTCACCACAAACTTTCCGTGAAGTGACACATATCTGTTCTCTCTATATTCTAAGTATAACTATTTTTTCATTTACACCTTTAAAATCTTTGTCTTCAAGAACTCACATTATGTAGGATGTAAAATGTTAAGCCTAGCTGAATGATTCAGTAAACAAGCGAGTGCTCGCCAAGAAATAACAACTTTCAGCAGTACCAGTTAATATTATACATTGTCAGAATTGTAAGTAGAACTGTTACACGAGACATAAACTAGCTCGTATAATGGAGCTCTGATATCATATGGAGGTGTGGCTCTGGAAACGAGCCCAGCAGACATCCAAGCACTGTCCACTTGTAATGACACATGGTATCACTGTTCACTACTAACTTCCTCTTCTTTTCCATCATCAGAGGTCATCAAAACGCGAACGGTGGAAGAAACAGGCTGTTTTGGCAGTATAGCGTTTAAAATCCTATAGACACCTTGATCAGGTTGTTTCTCGAAAGTGACATAAACCAAAATTCTTTTACGCTCGTCAGGAGTCAAACGCAACTTAGAGTCGTAGACTTTAATCATCTTATCAGTTTCCAAAGTAGGAGAAGCCAACGCCCTCGCGCTTCCCTGTTGATTCCATGCACTTGATTGAGCAGTGTTTGCACTAGATCTGTCTTCGCTGTCTTTTCCTTCTGCGGATTCTTGACTCTTAACACTAACTTCACTGTTCCTCTTTACTCGTTTTTGAAGGTGACGAGTTAAGGCTCGTATCTTGGTGTTACTCTCTTGATTCGCTTCTTGAAGCCTTTTTATTTCGATGTTTTTACCCTTAATTTCCTCTCGAAGTACATCGATTTTGCCTCTAAGTTGTTCATTTTCCTTTTCGTTTTGGGCCTCTATGTTGGAATATTTCTCCTTCACTTGCTCAAGTTCGCTTTCCACTTCTAATCTCTGCCGTCTCTCTTCCTTCAGCTTCATTTCAACTTCTACTGCTCTTTCCTGACTTTCCTTTTCCATCCGCATACTTTCCTTCAATTCACTCCGAACCTTTTGCAAACTTGTCTCAGCTTCAGTCAACTGTTGGTTGAAGTTCTTTTCGAGCTCAAATTTCTCTTTGTTAAACCTTGCCTTCATTTCTGATCTTTCCCGCAGTCCTTCTTGTTTTTCATACATCACTTCCTTCGTCAACATTACTTGATATTCTGCTTCAAGCTTTTCCTTGAGCTCTACTCTCTCTTTTTCAAATTTCCCATCAACTCGCTTTTGTTCCAGTGAAAGCTTATCTTTAAGATGTTTCACCTGATCTTCGTAGCACTGCTCAATATGATTTCTTTCCTCGCTGAATGAATGCGTTAGTTTGGATATCGCATCAGCAAATTGCCTCTGCATATCCACCTTCTCTTTGGCCAGTTTACTCCCAAGTCTCTCTTTCTCTGTTCTAGAAGCTTCTTCCCACTCCATTTGCCTGCTTCGAAAACCATGCATACGTTCCTCCATTTTGGTTTTGAAATACACCTCAAACAAGCGCAAAAGTTCTTCCTTAAATGCTTCTTCGTTGCTCCCTTGAGCCATGACGAGCTGACTTTGGATGTCTTCAGCTGTTGGTAAAGAACGGGCATGGTTCTCAAAACTCCCAGTTTTGACAACATTCATTTCCATGTAACTTTCAGAGTCGTTACTATTCTGGCTCATGTTGTCGTGTTCCCTAAAGCGACTATCCGCTTCGTTGCTTTTTGTGTCACTTTCAATTCCACGAGCAGAGTTGCTTCCTCCATTAACATGACCACCATCGAGCACACTTCCTGTTGCAGAAGGAATGATCTGCTTGTTTTTATGTCCTGCAAAAGAGAAATCTTCTGCGTTCTGGCTCATGTCAGCTCTTGGATAATTGCTATCTAAGATTCCCAATGCAGAGTACATAGCTTTCTTATCATCATTTGGTTGAGAAGGTCTAATGGATTTTTCTCCGACTTTCCTTTTGTTTAAATACATGGTGGTTGCCAAGTTTTCCTCCTCTTTGGAAGGTGCGACCTACATATGTTTGAGTTAAGAATTAGAACAGTTCTGTTCGACAATCAATGCTTGTAACGCTACGTAGGGATGAGAACCGAAAAGCGATAACTCTAAATGATTGCAGAGTGCACTGTACAACTGCACAGGTGATGTTCCGATCATTTAAGATTGATGTCGAAATTGAGGTCCCCAACTGCGCAACGAAAACATAAATAGAATCGTGTTTATCTTCCGCAAAAATCAATACAATCAACAAAAATTATTTGATTAATATTCCTAACGCTGTATTCAGTCTCTGAGGTCCACAAGACTTAACATACTAGCGTATTTCAAAGGTAATTTATTAAGTCCTTGCATACTTTTCAAAACAATTGCTATATGGATAAGAGAAAATTCTTCAAAAGAATTTAGAAAGGTTCATAAAAATGGAGATGTTATCAAACCATTTCATAAATTAATTATGATATTTACAAAAACAAAAACCGACGAAAGTGGATTTAAAGGATAGTTTGGTTTCCTCTGTGGAAATTTGGGTTACCCACATACAACGAAGTCGATGTAGCAACCCGCTGATCCCTACTGTCGTAAAAGAAACTTTGTCAATCACTGAAAAGTAAGTGACGATAGGTCAGATAGAAACATTAATAAAGCCTTTAAAACTCTTTATCTTTCTTCGTTGTATCAATAGGAAACGGGCGGAAAACAGGTGCATGGAAAATGGGGCGGAGCAACTAGTTATTTTGGCGCCGGGAAGATATTCGAGGATTTGGCGAGATAATCTTTCAGAAAAAGTTTGTATTTGAGTTGATGATTAATCTTGAGAGAAACCGAAAGCGAAGTGAAGAAGAAACAGTTCGTCTAAAATGCTGTTACTCAATGGAGATTTGCATATTTTCAGTAATCAGGATATGGATTTCGCGTTAAAGATTTCTCCCCTCTCGAGGTAAATTTCAATACAAATAAATGACCAAACAGGAAGACAAAAATAAAGTTAGAAAGACAAAGACAATTCCTTGGTTCGACCGCGATTGTATTTGATTAAAATATTTACACCTTCATCATCCGTCCATGAACAAACTTGTTTCCGACTCGAATGCAACAATAAAGGACTAGAAACCGAAAACGGAGCTCTACTGAGACTCACGGTTCCGAACCAACTTATTTAACACAGAACTACCATAAGCTATCTTATTTTCAAGTTTGTAACTAATTAAAACTTATTACTGTTACAGACACGTATCGGCTCGAACCATAAGTTAATTAATCATGAGCGGTAGAAAAAGAAGACCATTAAAAGAAAATGATGCTTGGTGGCAGTACCGCAAAATTACCAAAACAACAACGAAAAAAAAAATTTAAGAGGACCATTCAATTTAAATTTCGAAAACTTTTTCAGGCCGCGGCGTCAGGGGAGGACGGCTTGGTAGGGCGAGGAATAGATTCAAGTAAAAAAGATCCCATAAGCTTGCTATTCAATTCAGTTCCATCAAATTTTATAACAAACCAAATTTAATTAAAAACCGGTCATTCAAACGAAATAGGAACACCGCATGGCTGTGTTTATTCGAGATATGACGCAGTGAACAAGACAACAGATTGTTTTGTTATATTACAAAAGGACGAACAATTCAACTGATGCACTGACTATATTTTCAAATTTCTTCACTAGATTATTTAATCCATTCTAATCAGATGGACTCAATCTGCATAAAAATGTTAAATATCATAGTGCATTAAGAAAAGGCAAATCGTGTCTTCAGATTCGATGAAATGATTTTTCTATCGTTTCACTGATTACTTGCAGACTGATTGTTTGATTTATGAATTGATTCAATGATTGATCAATGGGCGAGGTCAGTTAAGCGAATACATCGAGTGGGTTTCTACACGTAATTTCCTGTACATCTTTACACAACTAACAATATTTCGTCAATTCAAAAAGGCAATAGAGATCAAATATAGCAATATCTTTCTTTGCGTAAATAAAATTATTGAGAAACAGTTTTTCTAAATGATAAGTGGCAAAAGCTATAAAAGTTATGAAAACTATGTATGCAATTCTAAATCTACGCAGCGCTCGAGCAACTAAGATATAGATCACAATTGTGAAATTACATTTACAAAAATACTTTTAATCCTAGTATCAAAAGTTGGCAGGTTTAAAACCTTTGATCAATTCATTTGAATAATGCTTACAAATTCAAGATCTGGATCTTTGTAAAACTGAGATAAAATGTACCACAACGTCAGTAAAATTTTCAAATAATCTAGCCAGACAAAAATGGTCTATTAGATGGAAACATTGTCTCGTTAGGATCCACATAGTAAACTCCAAGAAGAGAGCAGCGCTGATGATATGGGAAAGATCTGGATCAACAACACGATCTTGTTGCGAACCAGCTCTTTGTGAAAAATCTTCTCATCAGAAAAACATCCAAGGAATCTAAGAGAAGACTCCCACTGACAATGATTTCTCGCTTAGAGATATATTTACTCCTCTTTCTCCTTCAGTTACACATGTTGTTGCTTTTAAGCTATAGCATTGGCTCCACATAACTTAGAGATGACCCTTTGCAGGGCTTTCTTTTGTTCTGTAAGCTGTCGATTTGCTTTCTCCGCTCTTCTCTCGTTGGCTTCCGTTTGTTGAAGAGCTTTTGTAAGTTTGGCGTTTTCTATGTACAGTTCCTGAACAAGGTTACCTGAACGTGTGGCACTGATTTCAGATTGTTGAAGCTGCGAGCAGGAAACAAAAACAGATAAAAAATTCATTATGAATAGAAAAGGGAAAATTAAGCATCGCGTGGTTCAGAAGAACTTAAAAAAACTTACGGGCCATTAGACAACTACAGTGCTATTGACAAAACTGCATAGACATTAACAAAACTCTCACAAGTAAAACGTTTACCACAAAAGATCGCTTATAATGCTCCATAAAATTGGAGTCAAAAGGATCGGAAATTTACCTACTTGTCTTGAATAACAAAGAAAAAACTAAGTTTATAATGCATTCATACATCATATTGAGATAATAATAATAGTAATAATAATAATAATAATAGCAATTTATAAACTTATATAGCACATGCTACATGACGTGGTGATTGCGTGTACTTTACAAAAAAAGTAAAACAAATATTGTAATAATAGCAGATACCGTACCACAAAAAACTAAAGTCGCTTAAAATTACAAGAATGATCGGGTGAGATGAATTAGGATAATTCTATATTGTCTATCTTGATTAACGAAAACTATCACACGGTAAACATTGGAAGAGGATCATTTCGCACATATCACCTGTTTACTCAGCCTCGCCACGTGTTCATCCAGTGCTTCTCGCGTTTGTTTCACTTTTGTTTCCAATTCAAGTTTCTCCTTTTCTAGTTGTCGTATCCTCCCTTCCCACATATGACTTGCTTTTTCAAGTTCTCTCAGTCGTCGGGTCTTCTCTTCGAGCTGTTGAAAAAAGAAGAGAGCCAATGGTACCGGGAACAGACAGGTTTGGTGAAATGGGCCATGTAGCTTTTCCATTTGTCCTCTAATGAGAGTACAGGAGGAAAACGAGAGTAGGAAAACGAGAGAAGGAAAACGAGAGTAGGAAAATGAGGAAACAACAGTTACCCCAAAGAACAGGGTTGACGATGTTTAGCTTACGCCACCACAACTGTACTACCATGGTAATGGTGATTCTTAGAGCAACACCAAAAAGAATACTACGCACATAAAAAAACTAAAAGAAACTGAAGACACAAAACAAAAGATGAGAATAATTCTATATACCTTTTTGCTGAGTGCCATAACCTCTGCCTTCGCCTCATTAAATACTTTTTCTCTGAGAGCCTGATCCCGTTCACTGGCCAAGTTGGCTCGATGAACCTGTTCCTTCAGTTCGCTCACTTCACGCTGATGACGAGATTTCATGGTTGTCATTTCCGTATTTGCAAGAGTTGCCTAAAAGATGACAAATTTAGATCAGAAAATCGTCTCGTGGGCTTTGCTGACGTGTAAATGAAAAGCACAATCACAAACGGCAACAACTTACCCGTAACGAAGACACATCTTACCACACTTCACATTTAACAATTCACGGAACATCACGCACGATACAAGTCACAAAGATCACGTAAGGTTAGCTGAAACGAAATCTCACAACACGTACGTACATGTGAATTGACATCCAAAACATGATAATAAACGAAAAGTCGTTGAGGAGCTACAGTCAGATGAGCGAAGCAGACTCAGTTAAGAAATGTTAAGGATATATTCCCTTTCCTTTGGGCAAACAAATTTACTTGTATTCGACCCATGTTCCTGTAGGGTCCCTTAAAGATTACAAGTATCCATTTTAGCGACAAGCATTTATAGCCCTGCTATTAAAATCTGACCGCGACAAAATCGCAGCAGACCTTAATTATCCTACGTTACAAAAATTTGCATGAGAGCATAACGATAGACGAACTGTTCCAACCTGCAGTTTAAATATTGAGCATCACCTTTCATCTCCAACTGTTAATAACTTCGCTCTAGATGAAATCCACGTTCACTCAAATTCAACTCCATACTTTTCGTTTGGCTGTTGTAGTTGGACACTGAACTCATCAATTCATCGCGGTCTCGATTCACTGTTCTCATTGGGCTACACTGTTCCCATGAAATGTGCTCAATGGTACTCCCCCTACTTACCTTTTGTTTTTCTGTCTCCAATTCTCTTTTGTGGGTTCCCTGTGCATTAGCTAATCTCTCTTTTAGCACATAGACCTCCTCTTGAAGATGATTTGCTTTAGCGTTCTTTTCTTTAAGAACTTTTTCTACCACTTGTTTCTTTTCCTGGACATCTTGCAGCTTCTTTTCCATGGTAATAAGATCATTTTTGGCCTGCAAAACAGATAAGGAAGAGTTAATACCATTATGGGAACAATAATAAGTTTTAAATTGAGTCATATGTTCAGTACTGAAAACAGGTATTCCCGAGCATCCCCTA